AAAACCTGCCTGGTTTTCCCTCCCAGTCACTTCATCTAGCGTAATAAAATCTGCGGCATCACTCATTTTGCTAGCATCCTCAGACTGATGCACCTGCAACACCCCAACTACTACCCAATACTTTTAATTTAGAAATATTCTCAGCAAGGTCTTGTTCAAGCACTGATACCTGCTTGAGTTATATTAGAATGCAGTGTGGGAGCTGAACTGAACGTACAGAAAGCAGCTGAACTGAGGAAGACAGCCCGCCTCTTGCCTGTACAATATACTCTCCCATCTCAGTACAGAAACATTCTTCCACATCATCTTTTTGGAGCAACAGCATTATGAAGAGATTACGTTCTGAAATTTAATTTGTCCTTCAGCTAATACCAGAAAATTTTCTCCTATCTGAAGATGCTGAAAGCTTAAAAAATCAGAATGTTGAAAATTTGGATGAAAATTAAAAAACTAGAACTACCAAGTGATCACACTTCCCACATTTCCCAAGCTGGAACCTTAAAGAAAAATGGGTAAGAACACATTTTACAAGTTTAATATTCAATTAGGCCAGATCAAATTACTTCATTGCCATCTTTTACACAGTCACTCAAGGGAAATAAGTAATGCACATTTTTTTCTGATGTTAAGTCACAATATCCATCAGGGAAATTCAAAAGAGAATCAGCCTAGAATTATTTTCAATCATGTACATTTAATCATAGAATAGTTTGGGCTGGAAGGGACCCGCAAAGGCCACTCAGTCCAACCCCCCTGCAGTGAGCAGGGACATCTTTAGCTGGATCAGGTGGCTCAGAGCCCCGTCCAACCTGACCTTGAATGTTTCCAGGGATGGAGCATCTACCACCTCTCTGGGCAGCCTGTGCCAGAGTTTCACCACCCTCATAGTAAAAAAATTCTTCCTTATATCTAGTCTAAATCTTCCCTCCTTTAGTTTAAAACCATTACCCCTTGTCCTATCACAATCAGGCCCTGCTAAAACGATTGCCCCCTTCTTTCTTATAGGCCCCCTTCAAATACCAAAAGGCTGCAATAAGGTCTCCCCAGAGCCTTCTCTTCTCCAGGCTGAACAACTCCAACTCTCTCAGCCTGTCCTCACAGGGGAGCTGCTCCAGCCCCCTGAGCATCTTCGTGGCCTCCTCTGGCTTCACTCCAACAGGTCCACGTCCTTCTTGTGCTGAGGACTCCAGAGCTGGACACAGTACTCTAGGTGGGGTCTCACCAGAGCGGAGCAGAAGGGGAGAAAGTGGAACTCTGGATTTAAGTGGAAGTCTGCTCTCACATGTAATACAGCAGCGTTCCACTATAAAATTACCAATAAAATTATTAATAAAAAACTATTTAGCCACTGCAGACTTACAAGTCTCAACAACCACCAGTGACAGGGGAAGGAAGCACGGTCTGCAAGGTCACGCGGAAGATGAAAAGCAGCAGAAACAGTATATCCATAGCTGGTCAGCCTCAAAGCTTCTCTGTCCTCACACCCCACCTCTGAAAGGAGCCCCTGCTCTGGGGGGAAGTATCATTCTCCATCTCCCTTTTCCCATATATCAGTCATTTATTCAGAAACTGCTTCTGGCAACTTCTGCCAGTGTTTTATTCAGAATTATTTTGAGTTACATGTGCTGCTTAATAGTACCATTGGCTGCCCCTTTCCTCTTACAGTATAAGGAAAAAGTGACTATTCATTCCCTATCCATTTTTTCCAGAGATGAAGACTTACAAGACATTTGGGATATGCACATTTCATAGCAAAAAACCCTTTATCTTCTAGGATCTCTTTCTATAGATTAACATCTATCTCAGATTCTCCCTGGTGCCTTTTCCTTGACTGTTTTTTTTTTTTTAGTTCCACTATATCCTTTGTGACATGGTAGATTAAAACTGCATGCAGTCTTCAATTTGTGGCACCTTACAGATTTGTACAGACATTTCTTCTGATCTTTTCAATCAGTTCTTAAGCCATTAGGTCTTTCCTCTCATCCTGCAATAACTTAATTTCCTGAAGAGCCTTCGATAAGTAATCTAAATTTAACAAAGGGGTTTTGAGCACCTCCCCTATTGTCTTGAGTCTTCATTTCTGCCTAACCACCAGAGTCCTCATTTCAGTTCTAATTTTTAAAAATTTCAAGCATTACTGCACAATTTTTTATTTTTACTGTTTTCCCTGCTACCAAAATGCAAAATGTGAAAGCATTAAAGCCATTATTATAATGTGATTCTTTCATACTTGCACCCTACAGTCTACACACTGTTCAGTACCACGTTAAATACCATGTCACCTCTCATGGAAATCTCTGCTTCTCCAACAGCAAGAAAATTACAATGTCAAAAACTTTAGTCTTTACTTCACATCCTCCAATGACAACTAGTCAGCTGACTTAGGCATAAATCAACTTTCCCACTCAGGCTTTTTGTTGCCTTTACAGTCTCTCTAGTCTTTCCTTGGCCACTGGTACCACTCTCTCTGGGTAGTGGATAGCATATTTAGCTTATTGTCACATGCTACTAGCGAGACACAGAATTTTTACATGCCCATTCTGCAGTAGAGTTTGAAACAGCTAATTTATTTACCTTAATTTATTTTCTTCACTGGTGTGATAAAATTTGCCATTCCTAAGTACCTTCACTTGAGAGGGTTCCACTGGTTTTCTTACTTCCAGCCAATTTTCCAAGACACAAATGAGGTCAGTGTCCCCATTTAGTCACGCATATCAGGTCACCCATCTTAAGTGTTAGACTTCCAGCGTTACTTTAAGTCTCCTTATACAGCTGATTTGGATTCACTTGTCTAGTCCAAAATAGGCTCATTTGGCTTTGCTAAACTATAAGCCTCATCATCTCTGCCCTTAGCTTTCCCACCTCACCTGTAACGTTGCCAAAATATTACGAGGAGTAACTTGCACACGTAAGGTATTTTCTAGTCAACACTCTCATGCTGCACATTAGTGCTGTTCATAAGTGGTGGGGCCTAAGATTCGCTGCCCCATGTATTAATCGGAGAGACTGCTCTACAATTCGAAACAGAATCACCCCAAAACTTGAGCATCAAGATTAATCTCATCTGCACATCAAAGGAAACCCCACTCCTAAGATGAAGTACTTGCCCAAGTATCGGTCAATTTTAATTACCCCTGTGTTAAGAACTTCACAAAGTGTGTCAACGTGACATCTGGGTTGTGTGAAATTTAACAGCCAACCCTTTTACTCCTGGTCTGTTTACACTCCTACAGAACAGAAAGAAAGGAAATAATCTACTAACCTCTGTTTGACGCAAGAATGACTCGCATCCAGTAGAAGGGATCTGCAGAATCTGACGACATGATTCCAAACAAAGGTATCTGTCAAAGCGCACAGCGGTATGAAGCAGATACACAAAGAAAGCTTGCATTAATCCAAAAATCATAACGTCTAATGATTCTACTGTTACACTGTTTAATATAATTTATTCCTTTTCTTTTTTTTTCATTTAAACCAGAGCATACAATAACAGAGATACTGACACCATCTATTTTAATTCTCCAACTGAGGTATGACTCAGAGGACTAAACTATGTAAAGTAAGACCCTTCTACAGGAAAATGCAGAAACCCCTAGAAAGAAGAGTCGGTGCACATAAACCAGATTACTGAAGTTGAAGATGTAAATGCCCGACGTACACAGTTCTGGAGTACTACAGTCCCGCAAAAGAACAGAAAAAGCATAAAACAAATAGGTTAGCCACGAGAAATCATTAACAGAACAGGGAAAAATATTATATGATATTCCATTATTTATTTCACCGAAATTTTTGCAGTAATTTTGAGTTTAAAAAAAAAAAAAGAAGAAACTGTAGCAAAACATCTTTGAGAAGACAGAAGAAAGCCAGTTTGTTTGTTTGTCCTCAACAGCATTTAGTTTCAGTACAAATTAAAGATACAGCATAAACTACAATGTAAATATCTTCCTCCAGCAAGTTTAAATATTCAGATTGTATGGCTGGGAATATGTTTTAAAATATTCCATACACGGAACTGTCAAAGTTAGCCACGTTTATACAAAACCTTCAACGTTCTGTATGTCAATACAGAGGGATTTTGAGCTCTTTAAAACCCTTCTTAATCATAAAAACAGTAGACAAGGAATCTAGTCAATCTTATAGATTCCTGAAAACTCTAGTCTGCGCCGTCCGATCTCCCATTCAACTACTATAACCTTTGTCACAGATTCAAAATCTTAATTATGCATCTATCCAGCAGCTAGGAAACAAATCAACTACGTGTTCTTTTCTAGCTCTAGGATCATTCCCACCTCCTCCTTCCAAAAAAACAGGTAGGTACAAGAGGTGGGTTTAGCCTTTCAACGGTCCTTCAGAGTTGTAAACAAAATTACTAAACTACTGCTCCAGAGTCTGGAACGGGCAAGTTAATACATATAACCTAAAAGCCCGATTCTGAAGATGTACGGTTAATCTTAAACAGCCTAAGAGGTCTAAAAGTTCTAAAAGATATATATCAAGTTCTCATCTTCTGCAACATCCGAGTATTCTTTTAAAAAAAACCCAACACTATCTGTTTACAACCCAGGTACAGGTTCTAGGAACTCCTGAAACTGTGAGCAATAAAGATCACATAAGTGTTTACAAAGACCTGTGTTTTGGAGGGGTTTCAGCTAATATATTTGCCAGTATATTCACAAAAAAAAACCCCACCAAGTTCTAAATGAGACTTTAAACATCTTAGAAAAACATTTTTCTGAAATCTTTACAACCCATCCGCTTGTTCAAGAGAAATCACGTAAAAGCAGTCACTTTATTTCACATACAAATTTGTTACTGCTAAAATTTAAATTTATCTATGAACAGAGGGTAAAGAACGTATAATATTGCTCAGTGTGTTTATACTACTCAGTGAATAATTAGCCTGGCCATCTATCCTGCAGCCAGTATCATCATTTGATTGGGCCTTTCATATAACAAGAAAAAAACATTATATATTTTAGACTAAACAGAAAACATTAGTTTCTGAAAACATACACAGTCAATAATAAAGACTTTTTCAGAGAATCAGGTTTCTTTAAATACTTAACCATAAAAATACATGACTGAAACTGGTAGGTCAACATGAAACAAGAACTTCTCACACTTTCCGCATTCTTTTTTTCAGATGCACAGAAGCACATTTTCTGAAACACAGAGAACACCAGCACCTACCTGGCAGCACACTAAGAAGATGAAGAGCGTGATAGCCGTCCATAGCACCTTCTCTCTGAACTGGATCTACAGAACAGATTGTAGGTATTAGGGTGTTCACTGTATGTAGGATTTTCACGGCACTCTCACATTACTACTAAATGCTGCATCATTCAGAATTAAATGTGAAGATATTGATCCATAAGGCATCATTGCTCATTAGGATGTATTTTTAATATGATTCAGATTTTATAAAGACAGACAGTCATGGGCTTCTGTGTAGTCAAAGAAAACTTAGATGGGATGTGGCAGACAGTGTAGCTGACATTCAGTCAGTAGAATGTATTTTATATATAGTATTCTAATACTGTAGTAAAGCAACAGCATGGCTAAAACCATGGACACACCAGAACAAACATGAAAGATTAATGCAAAAAAACCTTATCTTCAGTGCTCTAGGCTTCAACGGATTAGAGGCACTGTTTTGTAAGGCTGGAAGTTATTAAACTAAAGCACTATAAAGTTTTTTAAGGGATTTAACTGCTGTGAAGACAAGTGATAAAAACTAGAAGAACCGTGACTTTTGGAGAGCAATTCAAAATACTTAGAATTAAGTTCTTCAAAGGGTGTTAAAGGAAGCTTAAATTCACCATTGTACGTTCATGGACAAAGACCACAAAATCATTTTAAAGACTCTTTTTTTTCCATCCAAAAATATTTGTATCGATGTAGATTATATATTACTTCAAAGAAGGTCAGATCAACGACTATTAGTCACCAATACATTGAAGAGAATCTCAGAGTGACAACATTTGAGGCAACCGTAACTAGTGCAGGGTGCACGAAGAGAAGAATCACAAGATTTAAGTTTGAACCAGAGGATTACTTGAAGCACGGGACAGAAAGAAAAGCACTTGAAGAGACCAGAGAGCGCTAAGATACAGTGCTATGTTCAAGTTCCCACCTCTCCTCCACGGACCGTAAACATTAGGATAAATGTGTTCACTGTAGGCAAGAGTACAGCAGCTACTAAAACATAACACAAACTAACACGTAAGATAGACACAGCAGAAATACCAGCTTTCTGCCTCCAACCTCCACTGAATCTGCCTGTAGAGAGGTAACAAGAAAAAGAGTAGTGCCTGATTTTGTAGGTACTGAACACCCACAAATGAGAGCCTACAAACCGACGCAGCAGCCGCACAGCTTCCCAAGCAAAACAAAACCCAGAAGCAGTCTGTATCTTTGCAAGTGAAAGCATGCACTTACCTAGAAGCAAAACAAGCCCAGTAATTTAATTTATGTGCTGCTATTGCCTCACTCTTTAAAAGAGGCCAGATGCTAAAAATACTTACAGTACAAAGTTAAAAAAAGAAAAATAGCAACAGCAGCAAATAAATCCAAACAGTATCTTGTGTTAGCCTTTATGCAGTGCTGACCCACTTTACCAAGTGCTGTTTGAATTCCGTAATTCAGATTTTAAGTAGAAACTTTTAAAAAGAAAAATGCTTCACCAAATTATCACTGCAGCCCAACAGTTAACCTTAGCTTCTGAGGCATCAGTCAAGCTCTACAACTCCTCTGGCTGTCCCTGTAACTGCAGTGAATAGGAGCATTAGAGAAACCCTGCACCACCCAAATCACAGTTATTCACAAGGAAAACAGTCTCTATGATTCAAAAAGACAAAAAAAGAAAAAGGAGGCATCGGAATCTGTATGCCAGGAAGAGCAAAATACAGACTGGTACCCAAATATGCCAGCCACAAATGGTAACAAGCACAGGGACAGCACATTTCATCCTCTGATCAGATTCAATTGGACATTTTATTCTTTGGCATTTATCTTAAAACTTATGAAAATGAAGGGACTTAAGCGTTATCCTCTTGGTGTTCTGAACAGCGTGTTCTACTTAGAAAAATCTGTGCCCATGAGGGAAATACGAACAGATACTACTAACGACAGAAGTAGCCACTGCTGCTGTTAATGGAGTTGGCCAAAACACAAAAGCAACACTCCCTAGTGACAGAAAAAGCCCACTTCCCTCGCCAACAATAACAGCAAAATGATCCAACGAGAGCCCAACTGAACCAAAACTTCATCTTCACTTAACAATCAATACAAGTTTAAAGAAAATATATTCCTTTCTCTATTTTTTTAATCTTAATTTCTTGTCCTGGCCTTAACCAATCTGCTAAAACTATTACTAATGATGTCTGCCAGTGATGGCTTGCAAGAAAACAATAACTAACAAAGAATTACAGTTATATAGAATGACCTAGGTTACTTGATAAACTACACACAAGCAAGGAACATAACTTAAAATGGTCAAAGGGCTCGGAAAGATGTTCCCAATTATATTTTCACTTCGGATGTGTACAAAGCTGGCAACTGGCAGTCATTGCCGAGACAGCGACCTAGATAGTAATAAAGACAAAGTGACCCAAATAGGGAGGACAGGAATCTCAGCACCCCTCTAGGCATCCTTCATCTGCTGCTGGAGGACGTGGACAGATCAAGCCCCTCGTCCTCTCTGGCAAACAGAAAGGGAGGAGGAAAAGAACAAGAGAAAAATCACAACTGTCAACGAGCTTCCAGAAACATCATTATCTGTAGATTGATCTTAGCTTCCTCTTCCCATCCACTTCACTGACAAAAATGGGATGGATGTAACCAACTCATCACAGATATGCCATCAGCCAGCACCAACAGACTGCACCAAGGTTCACTGCTGCAGAAACAAAGGTGGGTACCTGCCACTCAGAGCTGGTGCCTCCAAAGCTTAGCACAGGGTCTGACGCTGGAGATGCCTTTGTCTGACCTAAGTAACTTGTTTGGAAACCTGTCCCAAGAGGGAAAGATGCTGGAAAGCAACAAGGAAAGACAGATGGGAGGAAAGAGCCACGGGATAAATCCCAATCTTTTTAATAATCAGTTCCAGAGTGGAATAATCAGCCCTTTTTTCCATATTTTCTCCATTCAATCCAGTAGGTTCAGCTACGGTTACTGGCACAAACACCTCTGCGTCCAGTCCTAACCTTTGCGAATCTCTCATCAGCAAAAGATTCTCTCGGATGGTGTCATGTCCCCAGCTATGCATTTCCTTTTTGAATATAAAAAAAAAAATATCAACATTTAGCTCTTAAGGCATTTTCATGCCGGTTATAACAATGAGTATTAGGTAAATGTGTTACTCTAATTAGAACCTCTGTCAACTAGGCGATACATGCTGGCTTGAGCTTTGGAAGTAAAACACGGTGGGGTTTGGGGTTGTTTTTTTTTTTTTTTTGACAAGGCAGGTCTTTTTCTGATCTGTAGAAATTAACTAATTTTAATCTAGAAAATGGGAGGAGCTTCTAGGGCTAGGGGAATAGAGAGATCAGCTGTAAATGAGATCAGTTGACTGATTTCAGAACAAGGAAAAGTGTCACATCCAGTAGATGAACAGGGAGCAATTACCTGAACTATATCACAGATCACTTTCCCACCTCATCAAGGTGAATCACAGCTATGGGAGACGAAAATATTTTGTGGGAAAGGAAGAACTAAATTTGTGGTTCCTGAATTACAGCACAAGCCTTTGTGAATAAACCTAGTCTAGAGATGAGACTTATTTTCAAAAGTTAGTTAGCACAATTACCAAGTGGAACAATCCATCAGAAGGCTGTTAAGAATTCATCATCATGGTAATCTTTTACCTTAACGTGGACTCCCCCGCCTTCCAAAGAACACATCCCAGTTCAAGGCCCACTCTCTGTATTTATGTTGGAGCATGGACTCTAATATCACAATACTCTATTATCTGTGAACCAATAAAAGTAAGAACATAACGTGGCACTCACTTTTCTTTCCGGTTTCTGGATTTCAGGTAACACTGCACAGAATGGCTTAATAACTTCTAAAAATTTTACTGTTCCAAAAAAAAGAAACAGACACACACACACAAGAACAGAAAAAAATATATTAATGAACCTTCATGAATTTACAAAACTTCATGCAACTTTATTTAACTTCTAGGAGAAAACATAAAGTATAAATAACACTTTATAAGTGAATTATTTCATCAACACACAGTCTAATTCAATGTCTGAAAACTAACGCCCTCTTCTTAAAGCAGTTGAAAACAGGACAAAAGTGTGACAGAGAATTCTTGTTCTAATCAGATATGGCCTCTTCTTTTTTCCACAGCTGGAATCGTTTCAGATGAGAAGTGGCACTGTATCTATCACCAGAAGTGAACTAAATTGTATTCCATCTAAAAATAATTGACCTAGTATCAGTCTGTGCTAGTTAAACACGGATGCAAAGGATACTGACATCAAAAAGCATCCATGTAGAGATTAGTATCTTGTATTTTACAGAAGTATTTAGCTGAGAAAATAATTCAGTTGCTAAAATACGTTCAGAAATCATAATTTAAATCACGGCAACGCTTATTCTGATCAGAACTTTGGGGAATTTTAACTTTTGATACACCTCTCTTCACAGTTTCTCCTTTAAAAACATAAAAAGGCTCAACAGTTTGAACTCTCTCTGGAAAAAAAAATAAACAAATAAATCCAAGCACATGTGCTCGGTGGGGAATTAGTCCTCCACAACTTGCACATTATTCCCAGCCCCAACACATTTGGATAGCCATAGAAAACAACCATCAGTACCTCTTCAAAGCAAATGCATTTATTACACTGCAAGCCAAGTTAAGTAACATTTTGGTCGAAATGCCATGTTTACTTTTACACTTTGCTGTGCCATTATTTCTCCTTTATTTATTCCAAGCCCTCAGACAGCTCATCAGATGGTGCATCTTGCTCCACAGAAGGCGGCACGGCTCCCACGTTAAAATACTAAGGCCAGAGGAAAAAAACAAATAACCCAGCACGAAGCGGTGCCAAGTGGTGCCTCGTCTCCCCCTCTGCCCGGCTGCAGGCCAACCTGCTCGGGAGGAGGGAGCCCCGCTGCC